AATGAATGGATGGATATGGCTGTACCCTTTAGATTGGGTGATGGCTAGCGCCACCAAGCCGTAATACCTAATGAACCAAAAACTATATTAATTTTTTTCCCTTAAAAAGTGAGTTTGAGGATTCGTACTTTGCAGTGAAGAGTTTAATTTTCACTCGTGCCTTGACTCTAGCCACCAATCAGATAACCTCCTTCTAGTTAAGTCTACCCGCTTAAAGTTTATTTTGCCCTACCGGTCCCTAAACCCCAGTGCTTTGAAAAACTCTGCGCCATCATCCTGAACTATAGGGTGAAGCCCTTTACAGAACATTATCAAGTGTTCGGCAGTTTCTTCTTCCTCTCCACACGCACTGCGCACTGTGTCTACCCCTTCGTATTTGGCCCGATATGTCTTGGTTTGCAGTACTCCCGTCCTGGCCTCAAACAGTAGAGAACTACCCCGAGTATTATCATAGATCCTTTCCTTGGCAATTTCCTGCTTATAAGTTCGATAGATCTCTAGTGCGTACTTCTTAATCATGCCCATTCTCCACATGTCAGTCTCCATTTCCTTCACTTTCTTCTTAACCGATAGTTCTTTTTGGTTTGGCCACCTGCTGTTTTCTAAGTATTTACCAGTCAACTTCCTGGTTCGCTTCCTCCATTTTGTATCCACATTCTTCATGTACAAGTAGCTGAAAACCTTCCTAGCCCAACGCTCTTCCCCCATTTCTCTCAATCGCTTCTCAAATTTTATCTTGCTGCCAGCTTTCCTGCCCTCAAATGATGTCCATCCCATATCACCTTGTACTCCCTGATTTGGTGTATTCCCGTGAGCTCCTAAAGCAAGCCAGCCTATTCCACGTTGCTTAATTTCTAATCTTGCTTGAACTTCTGATCTCATGCACAAGACCGCATTGCCGAACGTCAGCCCAGGAACCATGACCCCTTTCCATATTCCTCTCACAACATCATACCTATTGTAATTCCACAGTGCCCTATTTTTCATGACTGCTGCATTCCTGTTACCTTTAGTCGTCACGTATATTTCGTGTTCCCTCAGATACTCGGTCCCATTGCTTATCCATACGCCCAGATACTTGTATTTATCTGTTATCTCTAGCGTGACCTCCTGTATTCTAAGCTCACTACCTTCGTTGTCATTGAAAATCATGACTGCTGATTTTTCCTTACTGAATCTAAAATCTAACCTATCTCCCTCATTACCGCAGATGTCCATCATTCTCTGCAAATCTTCCTTGTTGATGATGATGATGATGATAAAAGGCCTCCCCTTTGAATCGGGGTGACGGCATGCGCCATCTAGCCTACCTTAATAGTTCGAGTTTAAATTTTGTCCCTCAACTCGGATGTCTTTTTAATTTTGCCCAGCCGCTACTCTTGGCTGGGATGTTATTTTATCGACTTCTCTGCTTTTCCTCCACCAATACTCCAGCCGCTGCTTAGTAATACCTACTGCTGACCAGTTAATGCTTCCATCAACCGCGAAGCCCAGCGCCCCAGGAAGTGTGACCTTCCCCCAATTTCTATCCGGCTGAATCTTTTGGCATTCCATGACTATGTGGTCGATTGTTTCTTTATTTATGCCACATCCAACACATGTCTCATCCTGTGACGAATATTTGCTCCTGTAAGTTAGAGTTATCAAGCAGCCAGCCCGCGCCTCAAAGAGCAACGCACTACCTTTATTGTTGTCATAAAAGTTCTCTTTCCGGATCTCTTGTTTGCTTGCCTTGTAGATTCCCAGCGATCCCTTCTTTTCCATCCTCTCTTTCCACATGAGCATCTCTGTTTGCCACACTTGCTTTTTAACTGGCCCCCTTTGCTTATTTGCCGCGGTCAAGTTATATTTAGTCGCCAGCTTTCGCGTCCTCTTCCACCATTGGGTGTCCACACTTTTCAGGTACAGGTATCTGTGCACTCTGGCTGCCCAGTTCTTCTCATCTAAATGTCTAAGTCACTCCTCAAACCGTATTTTACTTTGCGCTCCCCTCGCCTCAAATGAAGCCCAACCCATATCGCCCTGTACAGCCTCGTTTGTAGTCTTACTGTGAGCTCCCAGAGCTAACCTGCCGTCTGCCTTTTGGTTAACCTCCAGTCCCGACAGGATATCTGACTTTAAGCATAATACGGCATTAGAGAACGTGAGCGCCGGCACCATTACCCCTTTCCAGATGCCTCGTACTACCTCGTACTTATTGTGTCCCCAAAGTGCTCTATGTTTCATTACTGCTGCATTTCGTCTCCCTTTCAGTTTGAGGTCTTCTTCATGAGCATTCAGGTAGCCTTTTCCTTCATTAAGCCAGATCCCCAAGTATTTGTACTTATTTACTAATGGTATGGCTTCCTGTTGTATCCTTATTGGTGCTACATGAGCTTCCTCGTTGAACACCATGACCCCAGATTTCTGTGGGTTAAAATGTAGGCCTAGGTACGTTGCCTCATCACCACAAATGTCAGCCAGTTTTTGAAGTTCTTCCGCATTATCCGCCAGCAGCACTATATCGTCTGCGTACATCAATTCCGGAAGCCGTTGCTCCACTAACACTCCATTGCTTCGGTGTGACAAATCAAAGCCCAATCCACTCTTCGCTAGTCGTCTTTCCATTCCTCTAATGTACAGTGTGAACAGCAATGGCGAAAGAGGGCAGCCCTGTTTTAAACCTCTTCGAATGTACACGGGCTCTGTGTATGTACGCCCTTCCCATGTAATGTGTGCCTTGTTATCCTCATATATTGCCCTTAGCAGCCCTACAATTTCCGACCCAATCCCCTCCTCTTCCAGTATATGCCACAGCAATCCCCTGTCCACGTTGTCATAGGCACCCTTTATGTCCAGAAACAGTAGCCATGTTGGTCTGCCCTGTGCTGCCGAAATTTCGTTGGTCTGGGTTATGACGAAAAGATTGTCTTTCAAGCGTCGACCCGGCCTAAATCCATTTTGCAGTTCCCCTAAAATACCGTTACTTTCAACCCACTTCAACAACTCGGCTTTGATGGCTTGTATAGCTAATCTATAGAGCACTGACGTGACTGTAATCGGCCTGTAAGAGCTCGCCTTGTCCCTTTCTCCCTTGCCTTTGTAGATCAAACTCATTCTACTTTCGCGCCAGTGCGCAGGAATCATCTTGGATTTTATAGCGCGCTCGATGGCTCCATACAAGTGCGCCTGTCCCGCTGGTCCCAAATGGTTGATAATCTCTATCGGGATTCCATTCGGTCCTGTTGCCGTACCTTTGGGAACACTGTGTTCTGCCTTTTTCCAGTCCGAAAATTCGATATTAAATTCTTCATCTGCCACTCTTTTATTTGCCACCTGTGTCCGGTTAGCCGACCTCTCGCGTGCTTGGCCGAAAGTATTTCCTATGACTCCATTCTAACGCGCTGTCCCCCAGGAGAACGTTACCGTCCCCGTCCTGTATCTGAGTCTGCATCTCTTTAGTCGTCGTTCCCAATGCTTTTAAATGGTTCCAGAATTTTCGGGGGGCGCTCTTATCCTTCTTACGTATGTCTGATACCCATTTCTCACTCGCAGCTTTAATCTTCGCTTGTACTAATTTCTGCACCTCAAATTTCTTTTCTCGGTACCGGCTCCGCCGTAACTGCACCTCATCATCCTGATATCCCATTTGCTTTGCTTTTCTGTGCAGTCGAGAGGCCCGTCGTCGTTCTTCAATAGCCAGTTTAATTTACTTGTCCCACCAGCTTCGTGGTTCCCGTTTACCCCTCCAGCGGTTTTTTTCCTTACTTTGTTTATTTCCTTTTGTATACAACTAACAACCTCGTCATATTCCCACACCTTTGTTGGCTGTGCTTCTAATTCTCTTTCGATGCTATTGACGATGTCTGCTGTCTGCTTTTCTCTTACTTTCGGGAGCCCAACCTCCTGTGTTTTCTTCCTAGCCCCCCCAATGTCAAATTACAGGATTATACGCCTGTAGTCGCTGCCCAGACTGTTTTCTCCTTCTTCATCTATCGTCATTTGGTCCAACCGCTCGTATGTGTGCTCCGAGACCAGGCCGTAGTCTATGCAAGACTGTCTACTGCCGCTTTGCCACGTTATCTGCCCGTCGCATTTATGTTCCCGGTTAACTATTACCAGTTGCTGTTCTTCACACATATCGATAACCATTGCACCGTTATAGTCTGTATATCCATCTAGATCCTCAATGTGGGCATTTAAATCTCCTACTAATATCACCTTCACTAGATTCTTTAAATTTTTTTATGTCCTTCCTGAGGCAGTCCACCCACTCTTTATTTTGTTCTCTGGCGTCATTCCCTGTCCACAGATAGGCCACTCCCAACCGTGTCTTTTTCCCCCCACCGTTCCACTAACCCAGAAGTGCTCCTTACAGCCCTGATTTTCCCTCTGCCAATTCCCTCCTCGCCTAATCAACATGCCCACGCCTCCACCTTTCCTGTCTCCCGCTGCCCTGTTGCACCCCACCCATACGTAATCATCCATCACTGGTGGCTCCTCCATATCTCTCAGGTGGGTTTCGGTCAGGGCGTACACGTCAATTTCTTCTTTCTTGAGTTGGGTTTGTATCTCAGTCCATTTTTCCTGCTTGCGGCCACCTTGCATGTTTATATAACTAATTTTAATCTCCCGGTTTATTTTCCTTTTCTTTCCTTTGTGTTTCCGCCGCCGTATAAACAACTGCGCGCGCCCCCACGCTGCTCCTCCTCAGAGGCTTCAGTGCGCTCCTTAGGCGCTGCTTGCCGCTCATCACACTTCCCTGTTCCAGCCACTGTAGTACTACCCATCAATCCATCATTCCCATGCTCGCTGAAGCGCCATGCGTTGCAGCTCCCTTAGACACTAGCGCCAGAGTTCCCTCTAGTAAGTATTGTGGGAAACTCTATGTGTGGAGAAACTCTGCGGGGAAACCAAGGCTGAAACCGAAGGGAGGGCTCAATCGAGAGAGCTGCTTCAGCTGTTGGCCCGAGAAGAATTGTTGAGTCCGCGGTCACGTGCGGTTTGCTGCTAGAGCCTCGAGGGAGGTCTACATTACTGGGTGTACGAGGTTATGGCCCTCACGTCTGCGCCGGCGGCATTCTCCAAGAGCGACTCGCCGACGCGCATCATGACCGTCTTCCGGAGCAAGAGCGACGATACCTCGGCCTCGCTGCTCAGCGAAAACGAGTATCGGGAGAAACTGCTGCGGACGGTGAAGAAAGAGGTAATGCAGTGTGACGCATGCAGTTCTACCCGGCCAACTGCGATCGCAGCTGGTAACTGCACTGTTTTGCGCACTATCGCTCTGCTTTAGAACGCCCTAAACTCGGTTTAAAGGGGCTGTAACTGAGCCGAAGAAGCGATTAGTGTCCGTGCTGTCCCGAGCATCCGGGGATGCCAATTGGTACTGGTAACCATATTGCACAATTTGGGAGTCTATCTACGGATATGGGCGTGCAGCCGGCGTCGTGAATGTTGGGCGCTACGCCGCAATTGATCCGCTGTGTCGCTCAATTCGAGAGCGTTTGACAGCTCGCGCATGTTGCAGCTTCAGCGTGCGCGCGGGATGAGATATATCTGACGCCTGTTGCGCGCTGCCCGCGACATTCGAGCTGCTGGGTCGATGAACCTCGTGCAGTGACACAGTTGCGCCCGGGTTGCGGATCGGGCGCGCGTATCTTAACGGCGGCGGCCTCGTTTACGGCAACACGCGGCAGCTGCAGTGCAGTTCCGTTCAGGGGCGCCGCATTTCCGCGCGCCATGCCGGACGCGGCTATGCGGAAAAGCCCACTTTACGTGCAATGCGCGTAGACCTCGGTGCGCGTGCAGCGTTGACGTTTTTGGGACATGTCGCTCGGGATTTCATTTGTTCGTGTAAATAATAGAAGCGTGATTCCGATGTGAAAACTCTGTGAAAATGACGAAAATATATAGGAATCTTACGTTAACATTGTCATTATGAGTCTCAATAGCAGCAGGTAATAAAGCCTGGGGAATGTGCAGGGAGCTTTAATAGTACTATTTTATATAAGTGCATTGTAGTAATTGTGACATAGATGTGAAGAAGCAGGTTCGGCCCTTGCCAGTGGGGATCGAAGTGGCCTTTTTCGCGTCTACGCTGCTGGTTTTCACGAAAGTTAACGGCCAACTCCGTCGATTTTTTGACTATGCCAGGATAATGGCGCTTTTACGTTCCTGAGACACTCTTGTAACGCGCCCGATAGCTCAAATGGTCGACAAGTTCGTAAATAATGTTTAGTTAGTAAAATACCGAAACCGAAACTCTACCGAGTGCGCTTCTACGTGTGGCGTAAGCGTTTGCACAAACCTGCCTGATTGCGCATAGTGCCCGCAAGATGGCTCTACCTGTCCACGCCTGTCCACGCCGTCCAAGCTTGTGCCTGCGGCGATCGGCTAACGCTGTTATGGCTAATATATGGCTAATCGTATGCGGCCAGCAACACAACACAACTTGCCACCTATAGCATGCCCACCAACATGGAAAGGGAAATCACATGTGCAACCAAGGAAGCGCCGGGCAAACCCACAAAATCCATAGCAGATGCTGCAGTGGAATATTACTTCCATCATTTCTGCCTGGAAAAACTTTGACTTCACTTGATAATTCTATCAAGTGAAGTCAGTGTTTGGAGGCAAGCTACAAAATTAATTTGAAAAGAATCTGTGAAACTTTCAAGCCTGTGATTTGGTATGAATTGTGCAAATGAACGTGCCCAGTGAATTTTATTGAGATCCATTGACCTTGAAAGATTGCTGGAGTTGGCCTTTAAGCCCTTGGATGCTTCCATGACGAACATTATTTCTACATCTGAAGAAAAGATATGTATAAACGATGAGGTCTCTGAAATGTATTAATCTTGAACCTCGACGTATTCGATATTGGCGCATGACACTTAAACATATAACATCTGCCTTGAGTAGAAAAAGGTGGCAGGGAATGTGCAACAATTGTCTTATTTGTCATTATACCAATTATGAAAGTTTCTATTAGGCATGAGGACATACCGTGGCGCTACCATGCGGAGGGGTCCCTGTGACGTGTGTGGTTTGATTGCTCCGCCGCCCTCCCGCATGCAGCCCGCAGCCGCTTTGTTGTCTCCTTTTATTAATAATATTCTTGTGGTACTTCACTTAACGAATTCAGTAAAATACTGCTGGAGCTTCTTTCCTGACTGTACGATATGCTGAATAACTGCCGCAGAAAAGCGTTGCGCTTCTTGTAATGCCCGACAGCCGACGTCGTCTGCTATGGCCACTAAAACGAAAACCACAGAGGCCGAACGCGCTGCTTCTGTGAAAGGTAAGGGTTCATTCCGTGTCGAAATGAAGCACCAAATAGGTATTAATAGTAAAGAAACTTATCTTTCCTGCAAGAAATGCACGCAACCACTCTCTTTCATTCATTGTAGGTTTCCATCGATAGACAGGCCATGGTTGACACGACAAGCACGGGCAAATTTACAGTTTTGTTTAGCACACACGGCCCTATGAAGCACAGCGCAAGTTGATTCGCCGCTTTGTGGGAAGCAGCACAGCATTGTTATAGCCGCAACCTTTCTGTTATGATTGTGGGTAAACGTGAGAATCACGCACACCCGTGCCTCATTCAGAGCTGTAACTTTTCTCTGCGGCATGCTCTAATATTTATTGCGCAAAATTTCTACGGTGGTCACTCGTTACACATTCGATCGCCATCGATACACACATGGGTGAAAACGAATTATGAATGGTTGGTTCAGTTCGAGAGAAGGTGTAAATCGGGATGAAAAAAATGCGATCAGCCACCTGTATCATATTTTGCGCTCTTGAATGAGCATATTGCCAGGTCTTGCGTACTGTGATCTAACTGGCAATTTCATGTTTCAGTGAAATAGCCAGCCTTATTATATTTTGCGCTCTTGAATGAGCATATTGCCAGGTCTTGCGTATTGTGATCTAACTGGCAATTTATGTGTCAGTGAAATTGCTGGTGTTCATCTTGTTTTACAGCTTCATTCATAAGTTGTGTGATGTTTCGCGGCAGTTCCTAGAAGATGAATCAGTTTTTGAAGCTGACCACATTTTCGCCTGTAGATCAAAACAACATGCAGAGGAAGTGATGGTGGCTATGGGCTCGTCCTACAGACATATTCTATAAGTGAGGAACCCTGTGAGCTGAAGTCACAGACGGCAGGTGCGTTGGCAGAACTTTTTTTCAAGGCAGCACCACCTTGATTAATATAGGGCCCGGGCAGGATGATGTGGTAGACCGTTGTTTTGTATGCACCATGGGAAAAAATGGGGAGGGGGCATGGGCTTGGTATGCCACCCCGTGGCTACGCTACCACGGATGGAAACCCCCTGTGGTAGGATACACACATGGGGAAGGAGAGCTGGGGAGGAGGGTGGGAGTGGCACAGGCAGCGGTTAGGTTACCTTGGCGAGAGAAGTAGCATTAGTAGACTGGAGCCGCTCATGTATGACATTAGAAAAGTTTCGTCGAACGCGCTGGCTGAACACGCTGAAGCAACTAACCGCAAATAGACCGGAATATGGTAAAATTAACGAAGATAAAGGCAAAGGAACTAGATTTGCGGGCCACATCTTGTTGTTTACCGTCCAGCTCAGGCGGTTCTTTCAAATTTCCGTGACTATGTCGAAAAACTACTACATTACGCCAACGCTAACAATTGGCAGGTCATTGTAGTTGATGACTTTAATGTAAACCTGCTTTCCGATAGCCAGGCAAAATTTCAGCTACTTCAAGGTATGTTAGCGAAGAACTGCAATAACCTGTTGCATCAACCCACGACGGTTACCGTGCAGAGTCATACGCTCATTAATTTATGCTTCACGAGTGTACCAAAGACTATAACTTGTTCTGTTATCCTAGCTACAGGTATCAGTGACCATTTATTCATATTTGCAATTTTTTCAACTCATAATTTTTCAAAGAGAGTTCACTACGAGATACATAAGTCAACGCAGCATCACTTTATTTCAGTCTCTAGTCGTGAGCACAGACTGGGAAGCGGCTTATTCAGGGTATAATCCGTATAAATCATATGAAATATTTGTGTCAAAATTACAGCAGAGTTATGATGCTACTTTTCCCGTGACAACAGTAGTCAAACATAGAAAGGTCTGGAAGGCATGGATTACGAGTGGCTTTATTATTATTAGTATTAAACAGAAAGAAAAAATATTCGCTACTTTTCTAAAAATATGTGATCTTCAAATATTACTGGAATTTAAGAAGTTTAGAAATAGGTTGAATGCTGACCTCAAGAAGGCTAAAGTCGTCTCTCTTGAACGAAAATTTGAAAGTGTTGCCTGGAATAGCCGAAAGACATGGAAAATCTATCATGAGCTAACGAGCACTCCTTTATCAGAAGTATCACCGGAAATAGAAGTTGGTGGTGTGAAATATTCTGGTGACTGCTTAGCAACCTTGTTAAACAATTATTTTATCAACGTTGGCACTGCTGAACCCCTCCCTACTGTACACCCAGAGCGAAAATGTATGATGCACTTGCATAGTGCTGTACATCATACCTCCAACGCTGTTCTTATTTCCAACTCCAGAAGATAAAATAACATCAATTCTAGGTTCGCTTGAAAATAACTCAGCAACAGGAGAAGACGGCATAAAAGCATCACCAGTAAAGACTGTGGCACATGACATTGCAAAACCATTAACTCACATTTTCAACGAAACGGTATCGTACGGTATTTATCCCGATAGGCTGAAAATTGCTCGTGTGATTTTACTTCATAAAGATGGAAAACTTTATGTGTTGGGTAATTAAAGAGCAATACCTATGCTATCACTATTTTCTAAAGTGGCTGAGAAAGTCCTGTGCACACGATTGAATATATTTTTATTAGCAAAAAATGTTATTGTAGAGCAACAGTTTCGATTTCAAAAAGGAACATCGACAGAAAAGGCACTAGTGCGAATTAAAGATAAAGTCATCCAAAGCATTCAAAAAAAGTTATTTAGAGTAGGCATATATTGTGGGGTCTGGAATTGGCGTGCGAGCACCACCATGCTCTTGGAGTGAACGGACACAGCAGACGTGGTCGGTACAAACCAACAGCATACATTTATTCAACTAATTTACAACGACGATATCGTCCGCCGAATGATACATCAATCGTTATCAACACGCTAAGTCATCATTACACAAAGTTACTAAAGTCTGAAACAACATAACACAAGAG